AAGAATGGGAGTGAGGATGGGAACTCTGTACCTGTAGAAGTTATGTTATAATGGACTAATTCCCAATCAAATACTAAACTTTTTATAGAAAATATTTCTAAAATTTTATCAACAATGAGTGGATGGACTTGCTCTCTCTGTAATATGAAATTATCTATTTTATTAAAATTAAAATGACAGCATACTACAAATCTGTTTATTTTAATGTGTTATACTGTATAATGTCTCATTTTTCTAACATTTTGCAGCATACCACTTGAGATCAGGAGGATTTAAGAATTTATTAAATAAGGATACATGGATAGGTTGTTCTTTTTCAGATTGATTAATTTTGGAGTGTCAGTTTTCTTGTCATTTAAATTACTTTGGGGATCATGCATTAAAAGTTTTTGATCATTTTCATTTTTTAAAAGAAAACCATTCAACTTCTGAATTTACACATCTTCCGGTTTTAGATGCCAACATTTTAGTCTTAACCTGCAGACTGTTTTCATTCTTCCACTTCATTGACAGACACATCTTTTTGTTTCTTTTCATATGTGGGGAGAAGATGGGTTGGGATAAGAAACTTGGCCCGCTCAGACCATGGACAGAATTCTGTTACCTATTTGTCCTGAAGATTTTTTTTTTTAAAGTTGCATCCTTCCTCAACAGTGTAACTTGATATAGAATGTTACCGATTTTTCTTTTCTTTTTTCAGTGAATGTCAACAAAGAGCCATTTGAGATTGACTTTAACCTTGGAAAGTCAAATTCAGTTAATGTGACTGCATTAATGTGTATCTTATTATTCTATTTTGGGGAATGATCATGAATTGCATAAGTAGGTAATTCTTGTCCTTTGTAATACAAAGTCTCATGCCCTTTTTCTCTGCTTTCCCTATATATGTATTCCACATTTTAAGGTGTTCTCTATTTTTTCAGATTTAAGAAAGAAGCTATTTTATGAGAAACTTGTTTCTGGAATTTGGTAGCTAACCACTGATAATGGCATAGACAATGATTTAGTCATGCAAAGCAATGATGATACAATGTCCTGTTTGGCACAAGAGTCTCTCCTGCCCAGGATTTTTTTTTTGGGGGGGTGGGTACCAGGGATTAAATTCAGGAGTACTCGACCACTGAGCCACATCCCCAGCCCTATTTGGTATCTTATTTAGAGACAGGGTCTCACTCAGTTGCTTAGCACCTCGCTGAGGCTGGCTTTGAACTTGCAGTTCTCCTGTTTCAGCCTCTGGAGCCACTGGGATTACAGGGATGAGCTACCAGGACTGGCTTCTCCCCATATCATTTTTATTAAATGGTTCCTTAATGTCAGTGCACCTTACAGTCATCTAGTGGGATTGTAGCTGTGCTCTACTTCCAGTTTCTGATTCAGTTAATTTGGTGATGGGAACTAAAGATTTGTGATTTTAACAAATCCCCAAGGGATTCTAATGCTGTTGTACTAGGGACCATACTTTGAAAGGATCCAATGTAGTCATTTTATCTTTAGTACAGATGTGTAGTACACATCCAACCATACCCATTTTATATCTAGAAAAAAATTAACTGGGTGTAGTGGTACATGGCGTTTAATCCCCCTATTTATCCAGTTATGCTTGGTTGGCTATGGTCTTGGACCTGACAGTATGTGCTTGGTCAGGTATGATTGGAATTCAAATGCACCCAAAATTGTGAGCCTGGCTGGGGCACATGGGATACTCCGGCATGGGTGGGGAAAGTCTGACCCTGAAGAGGAACGGAAGCCTGAGGTTGGAGGATATCGAGGTCTAGGCCTCCAACAGCAATTTAGACCCTGCTTAAAAAAGGGCTGGGGATGTAGCTCAGTGGTAAAGCCCAGGGTTCCATCCTAGTATCCGCTCCCCCACAAAAAAATTCTATTCACATTTACATTGTGCAATTGTTAACATTAAAGCAAGTCGTGTCATGTCTACTTCAGTGTAGCAGATAAGTGAGAAATCTTATTTTTTTTTAAAAAATGTGGTTCTGAGGATCAAACCCAGTGCCTCACACATGGTATGTAAACACTGACCCACAACCCCTGCCCCAAGAAATTATCTTGCTGGCAAATACTTGCCTGATCATTTCATACAAAATGTACATAATATCAAAACACAGTCTTGGTGGCCAGCCTCAGAGACCCTGTTTCCCAAAAAGAGGGAATGGGCCTGGAGATGTGGCTCAGTGGTTAAGCAACCCTGTATTAATAAAAATAAATAAAAAGGACTGTGGATGTAGCTCAAAGGCAGAGCACTTCTGAGCTTAATTCTCAGAACCTGGTGTGAGGGGACAAGGCAGACATTAAGGAAAAGATGGGGAGGCAGCTATTGTAATAGGAATAAGGGGATTGGGGTTGTCTCTCAGCGGTAGAGTGCTGGCCTAGCTAGTGCTGGCCTAGCTAGTGCTGGGCCCTTAGTTTGATCTTTAGCACCACATAATATGTAAATGAATGAGTGGGAT